TGGAGTCTCTGGGGCCCTTCCTGGACCGAGGCATCCTTGTCCTCAGGGCCAGTGCTTCAGCTGGGTTTGGAGGCGTGGTGCTTCCAAGATCCCAGGCCATGACAAGGGGCAGTGGGTGCAAATGGCCATGGGACCTTTGTCATTTTGATTTATATTTGATTGATATGTATTTCTCTAAAATATTCGCTAGACTCCCACTTCGGGCTAAAAGAATAGATGGGTAACAGATGGTAGTACTCTGAATTTGGGAGTTGGGCAAGACTAGAAAGCAGAGTTTTGTTCAGAGTTTGGGCTGTGAAGCCGGAGGGCCCCTGGAGCAGCCACACCTGCACCTGGGAGCCGGTCCAGGGGCCCCACCTCGTGCTGGGGCCTCCTTGCTGGCCCACGTGTACCCCGCACAGCCCACAGTTCTGGTTCTGGTGTTTCTGAGGGCCCTAGACAGTCTGCGCAGGGAGCTGGGACAGCGCCCCGGGGGGTGTGAAGTGTTCTGTCTGCCGGTGCTGCCCAGTGCTTTCCACAATGATCGAGTGTCTCAAAACATGAGCGTTGGCTATGTATTTACATCAGGGAAATTAAACACAAGCACGTTCATCACGAGTTTTACAAAAATGGTAGTATTTTGTGTTTTAGTAAGTGAGTGTAGAATGTGTACAGGGCAGAAAAAGCAACAGAAAATATCAGTATGTCTGAAAAGATCATAATTACAGGTTGCTGTACTGAATAAGTTTAAAATCAAAAGGAATTCTTTTCTCAGGACTGCTATTAAAACATGCAGTGCGAGTGGGTATCCCCCAGAAAAATTCACCCAGAAGAAGGAGAGGAAAGAATAGAAAACCAATCCCGAATTCTCCCCCAGCACTTCTGAGTGGCTTCGTTGCCGGTCAGGCATGACTAGTAGGGGTTTTAGTAACAGGTATCTGTTACTCTCTGCGCTTTGGGCCACTTGTCAAGGAGATGCGTTCCCTTGAGGGTGGGCTCCATCAGCTGAGGTTGCAGGAAGGGAGGAGAGTCGCCTTTGCTTCATCAGTAAGGGCCCCCAGGGGCTGGTTCTCAGAACAGCCCTGCGAGCCGGTGCTCTGGGCCAGGGCACAGCTTTCAGGGGCTGCTGGCTCCACCACCACTGCCTTCCGCTTCCGGGCCTCCACGGCTTGGTGGCTCAGGTCTCCTCTCGTGTCTTCTTGCTTTATGGCTTCTTCCCACTTGCTGCCATCCTCTTGGTGGTTGAGGAGGCGGGGAGGCTCCTGGCTCTGCAGCTGCTTTCCTGCGTGGCAAGACCGCCGTTGGTCCTGGAGGCAGCAGATCACCCGGGGAGGCAGTTTGTCCCACGGGTCCTTACTGACCTCATAAAGCCCCAGGGCGTCCTCCTCGGTCCCTGTTCCACCACTGCGTGTTGTGAAGAGCGTCTGGAACGTGTCCAAGAGGCTTTGACCCTGCCTCTGTGGATATGTGACGCAGTGTTTTCCATGGCGGCCGCTGTCATGCCCAGCGCCTGCCTCGGTGCTCCTGGGTGGTCCCTCGTCCCCTGTCTGTCAGTCACCTGTTTAGTCCTCACGCACATTCTGAGTCAGTGCCTGCAAATAGCACTCATGTAATTGAGGATTGGTTCTAAAAGTTCTAGTATTATTTGGAATAGAATGTATATATCAAGAGTGTTTTTTAAGTGGCTGAAAACTAATGATTAAAAATGAGCAGTGGGGTGGGGAGAAGGGAAGGGAGCGTGCCGTGTGATTTCTGGGTGCCCGGCACCATCCGGTTTGGAGCTCCTGGCAGTGCTGTGACTTTCTGTGTGGCCAGAGAGTTCTAGTCTTTAAGATGGCTACATTTGGGGTTTATGTATTCATGCAGCAAATGTTTACTGAGTGCCTGCTCTATGCCTGGCCCCACGCAGGATGTGGGAACAGCACCCATGGGCTCTGAGCTGTGCTTGGAGAGGCCACTTGGATAAGCCTGGCACGAGCCTCCTGGAGGCAAGAATGGCTGCTGCGAATCCAGGAGGGGGTGCCGGCTCAGCCATGGTGACCCCTCTGCTGGGCCCTCCCCCCGCCGGGTGCAGCACAGACACCAGAGAGCCGTTTCCACAGCGTTGTTTTACAACTTTTGTGCTGAGCAGAGAGTTTGAAATGTCACTGCATATTTTATAGAGCGTATTTTAAGTGGTGTCTATTTGAAGATTTATCCAAACCTAAAAAACGTAAGAAATAAGCCAGAGACTTCTCTAAAGCACTTTGCACCCTTTTACCTTAAACCCATAACATGTGGACGTGCACTCTCTGATATGGACAATATGTAAGATATTTGGGGTTCATAGTCGGTCTGAACACAGCCTTCCCAGACGGCTGTGGATTGGAATGTTAGACAGTGGGAGAGGTCAAGGGCAAAGCATTCCCTTTTGGTCTAGTCCCTAAGATCAGCAAAGCAACACCTTTTCTGTATACACACATACATGGCTGTTTCCTCGTAATTCAGAGTCTCTGAATTTGGGATTACATCATGGAGATGACTTCAGCGAGGACTTAGGAAAGAAGACCCTTTTCTGCATTTCATCAGTAACAGATAAGGGGGCCATTCCATGAAACTGGGTGGGGAAGTGAGGCCTCCTGTTGGCCTGGTTGTGGCCTCAGGGGCAGGTGGTGTAGCACCAGTCTCTGAGAGTGTTCTTGAGTGTGACTTTCACCTGGACACCTGCATCGCTGTCCTTGGGTCTCCAAGGAAACCTTAATTTGCTTAACTACGTTTAAATAATTTTGAAAAAATTAATGAAATGGATAATTTTCTAGCAAAATGTATATGACCACACGGACCCCAGAAGAGAGAGAAAAGCTAAATTGGCCACTTATTAGGAAAAAAAAGATTGATCAACTTGTCGAAGTCACTGCCCCCCCAAAAGCTCCAGGGGTAGATGTTTCAAGAGTGGGTTCCCCCAAACTGTCAAGGAACCCCCAACTGCAGTTCCGCCTAAACTGTCCCAGCTCAAGAGAGACCAAGAACCATGGCTGACAAAGGCAGCACCACAAAGACAGCTGCCGAATGGTCTTGCTTCTGCATGTTAGTGAAACAGTCCCGAAGGGGATCTGGTGGCAAATGATAAAAGATGGAAGGTGTTTATATTAGACATGTAAGCATGGTTTCATATTGGAAAGGTTGGGTAATGTAATTCAGCATATTGGTAAGTTAATAATTTACCAATGGGAAAAAGCTTTTATAGGGTCATCTCTATAGAGGCTGAAAATATATTTGATAAAATTCAACATCTCTTGATTAAAATATGATTACTCTTAATATAATTGAAACAGGTAGATATTTCCTTAATATGACTTTAAAACATACAAATCAAACATTTCCATTAGAGTCAGGGACAAGACAGAGACACTTGATGTCACCGTGATTATTTAATACAGTTCTAGAAGCTCTTGCTTGTGCAATGACTAATTAAACACAAGAAAGAAGAGTATAAATATTGGAATATTAGAATGGAGAGACAAAGCTATTGACAAATATGATTGTGAGTCTGGAAAACTCAAGAGAATCTACTGAATTTAGTCATGAAATTAATACATAAAAGTCAATAACATTCTTATATCTCCAGACAATAAGCAGAAGAGATCTCATTTATGATAATAAAATATGAAAGCATGGCCTTAGAAATATATTCTCTCTATGAAGACAATTTGATGCAGTAAGAGAGGCTGAAGAGAGGACTGGGGTGGTGGAGATATTATGCCCTGTTTATGAATGCAAAGACTTAACTAAAGGAGTACTATTGACTTTCAATAATCTTTAAATCTGACTAATCTCCCAGGGAACACACTGTGTCAGTTAGGATGCTGTGGTTACAGGTAACAGAATCCATCACTAATGTGGCTATTGTTTAATCATATACATAGCGGGCAGTTTGGTGGGGAGGCTGCTGGGCGGCTCGGCGTGTCATTGGGGCTCCAGGTCTCCATCTCTCCATTCTCACCTCTCTGTGCTGTGACACTGTCCCTCTCAGATAACGGCTGGATGCCACCATCAGATTCTCACAGCACAATCTGCACAAGCAGAAAGGAGACACGTGGTGTGGGAATGGGGAGGGGAGCATGCCAAAAAACCCCAAATAAAGTCCCCCGCCTTTTCCTTGGGAAGCTTTCATAAAACTTCTGAGTTGGGGTAGTTTTAGATTTGCAACCAGGTTGCGGACAGCGCAGAGTCCTTGTGCTTCCCCAGATGAACGTCTTACACGACCATGGCGCCTTTGTCAAAGCTGAGAAATGAACATCCGTACAGCGCTGCCGACTGACCCACAGACTTTATCTGGGTCCTGCCGGGTTTTCCACTACGTCCCTTCTCCGTCCCGGATCCCGTCCAGGGTCCCGTGAGCACTGCATGTAGCCATCCCATCTCCTCAGTCTCCTATGCGCTGGGGCGGTTTCTCAGCCTGGTTTCGCGGCCTTGACACGTTGGGGAGACTGGTCAGGTATTTGGGAAGGTCCTTTAGTTTGGGTTTGTCTGGTGTCTTCTCGTGATTAGCCTGGGATTATGGGTTTCTGGGAAGAAGACCACGGAGGTGACGTGGCCGTCTTAGCACATCATGTTGGGTGTGTGACGTCGGCAGGACTTGGCACCGTGATGCTCACCTGACCTCCGGTTAAGGTGGCGCCTGTTGTCTCTCCACTGTGAGGTCACCCTCCTCCCCGCCCTGCCCGGCACTGGGCCCGTCCCCAAGTCCTCTCCACACATGGCGGGTAACCAGGCTGCTCCTTCAGGGGCACCTACGTATGTTGTGTGGGACTCTCCTTGTTTACTTGTTTATCCAGTCGTCCATTCCTGTCTGTGTGGACTTGTGGACGTTTGTCTTACTCCTGGGTCACAGTCCAACACTGTTGTGTTCAGGTGCCCAGAGTGCCCTAGCTCTGGCTGTTGGGGGTCTTTCTGTTGGCTCCGATGTACGTGCCCATCCTGCTGTTTTCTAACTTTCTGGCCCTACAAGATGCTCCCTGCGGATGAGCTTGTATTTTCCCTGCCCCAGCCCTGGAGTCAGCCAGTTCTCCAAGGAGTCTGGTTCTTGTATTGGAGAATGGTATTTAGAAACAGGATCTGGGTGCTCGGGTGCTCGCTGCTCCCAGGGTTGTCACATGCAACTTTCCTATCAGGGAGGGGAATCTTCCCGAAGGCACACCAGGATTCCCTGGGTCTTATCCAGGCTGTGTCTTGCCCACCCCGGGCAGATGGCAAAGGGAAGCTGGATTGCCATGGCCAGCTTACACGACCTCTGGGTCACCTCTGGGCAGGCACCTTCGCATCTGCAAACATCTGAGCTCCTGCCCCCAAGCCACCAGCAGTACTGTCTTAAATCTCTGTGGCACTGCTTTGCAATTTGACAGGCAAACAAACATGCAAGTGGCAGCCAGGAAAATTCTTTTTCTTGTTTTTTTTTAATGATTGAGAACTTTGTTATAAATACACATTTGGTGAGTGAGGGCCAGCAGAGGCGGAGATGGTGCTGTACACAGCTGGCGTAGGCTTGGAGGCTGAATACCACATAGAGAGAAAGGGAGACAGACAGTCCACCCAGCAGAGCAGGCCAGGCAGCATTCTAGGGCCTGTAACACTTGGTTGGTGGGCACGTGGTGAGGGTCTTGTCCAGGGCTGGCGGGGCCCACGTGCCCTGCAGGCTCCCTGGTCTGAGATCCTGGGTGGTGTTGGCAGTGGCACCTGGGCTCAGTTCAGATCGTTCAGGGCCTGGTGGGACATGAGGCCTCGTCAGGAGGATGCTGGGTCATGTGGGGGGAGGTGGCCCCTCAGGGAGCCCTGGGTCCTCTGCCCCGCCCTGCAGGTGGCTCACTAACAGCAGGAAAATTCTGAGAAAGAAGGGTAATGAGTAAGGACTGCTTTAGCAGATATTAAAATGCATCGTAAAGCTGTGAGAGCCAAATGGTTTGGAGTTGCTGCACTGAGAGGGCAGATGAGTGTGGTTAACAGTGCTGCACCGTGCATTCGAAAGTTGCTAGGAGAGGAGATCTTAAAAGTTCTCATCACAAAGAAAAAAATTTGTAACTGTGTGAAGTGAGGGATATTAAGTAGACTTATTGTGGAATCATTTTGCAGTGTATACATATATCAAATCATCCCATTGTATACCTTATACTTATACACTGTTATATGTCAGTTATATCTCAATGAAACTGGGGAAAAAAGAGAGAGGTCAGTGGGACATGTTAGAACCTAGAAAGAGACGCAAAAGCTCGAGAACTTGGCATGTGATAAAGGTAGCATTTCAGTCAGAGAAGACGGATTCTTCAGGAGGTGTTTCTGAAGCAGTGCGGTAGCCCTGTGAAAAACATCTGAATCTCCTTCTCAGTCCTTCTATCATGTAAATTCTAAATGGGTCAGCGATTTCATCAGGTCTGAGAGTGTCAATTGCAGGACACACAATTACTTTCTGTACGTCTCAGAAAGGAAAAGGAAAACCACTGCCAGAACATAATCAGGATGCAGTCATTGGTGAGACAGACCTTGATTTCAGAAATGTGGAAAATTTGCGTGTGGAAGCAGATAAAATATAGTAAGTGTGAAAAAGACAAGAAACAGAAAAAGTACCAAGAGAATTAAAATAAAAATCTTGGCATAGAGAAGACCTTTCTTAGTAGCACGTGCATACTCATACTCACGCACACATGCACATTCACATGCTCATGCACACTCACATTCACACATGCACTCATGTACACTCATTCACACGCTCATGCAAACTCACACACATGCACTCACATTCACAGGCTCACACACAGCGCACACACATGCGCACACATCCGGAAGCCACAGACATAATAGAAAAGATGGATGAATTCATTCTGCACTTGGCATGTCTGTTCTATTCCAGCCATCCTAGGCTCTGGGGAGATGCTGGTGATCAGAACAGTACAGAAAAGTGCTTTCAAGCATTTTATAGTCCAGCCAATCTCAAAATGACGTTCATTTTCAAAATGTTTATTTCCATTTAAAATGGTCTGTGAAGGTGAAGATGCAAGGCTTGGTGTGATTTTCAAAGCTGCTGATGCACCCAGGGCCCTGCCGTCTGTCCCCTTGGTCTAACTGACCTTCCAACTTCATTATTTCAATACCTGGGTGTTTAAAATATATTGTTTAATTTTCTCTTAACACAAAATTTATTGAGAAAAGATTTAACAAATTATACTCTTTTTGTGAATCATCATATGATAACTTAGTGCTCAATTACAACGTCTGGAAAAAAATTTTTTTAATTTTGGCTGAAGCATTGGACCTTCTTCCAGGTGTTTGTCTGGTAACATCTGTGCAGATCCAGTTAAGGTTTCGTGGGAATGTTTCTCATTGAAACCATTTTCACAAGTACTGATAGTAAAGTTTGTTCTAATATTTCAAGAGTTGTTCCTGGCAGCTCCATGAGATCAACAAAATTATGAAGCTGTCTTTAATTAAAGCCTCGAGTTTTCCTTGTCAAGCAAGTTAAGAATTTTTGTGAAACAATTGAAGCTTAGTTAATAAGGATTGAAATTTTATTGCTAAAAACATGTAATTTCACTACATATCTTTGCAAAAAGTGAGGCAATAAATATAGATTGCAATATGTTCTTTTTTGTATTTGTTTTTTGACATTCTTTTAAATATTGGCCATCTTAGAATGTCTGATTAATTCCAGTCACACAGTAGGTACTGTTAAATTCGGATACTTACTGCATCTTTTTCTTTTGGACTGCCATCAATTCTCTCTGGTTTAAAACAGTTAAAGTTTTATTTAAAATGTTTTCTTTTTTGTTTTTGTGAGGAAGATCAGCCCTGAGCTAACATGCCAATTCTCTTCTTTGTTGCTGAGGAAGATTGGCCCTGGGCTAACATCCATGCCCATCTTCCTCTACTTTATATGGGACGCTGCCACAGCATGGCTTGACAAGCGGTGCGTCGGTGCACGCCTGGGATCCTAACCTGCGAACCCTGGGCCGCCCCAGCGGAGTACGCGCACTTAACCACTACGCCACGGGGCCGGCCCCCTAAAATGTTTTCTTATATGGGGCTGACCTAGGAAATTCTTGTAAACGTCTCCTCATTGATGAGCGCACGTGTGCACATTTTGGGGGAGCCTCCTGGGCCTGGACCCCCCGACCCGGTGCTGGCGGAGGCTCTCTGGGAGCCTGGCTGTGGGCACCTCCGCGTCCACCCAGTGCTCTCGGCACAAGCACGGGGCAGTGCTGCAGTGTCACTTGACATGGAGGGTTTTCCTCCAGATTCTGTTGTCCTGCTCTTTTGTGCAGTTTCGAATGTCACGGGGAGGGGGATTGGTGGGGGGGTGCTCTGGCTGTCTCCTGGGCTCCTCTCACAGCCACCTCTCGTCCTCACGAGAACAGCCTTCACTGTCGCTTCATTTGGGGTGTTTACCTTTTGTGTGTGTGTGTGTGTGTGTGTGTGTGTATGTGTGTGTGTGTGAGGAAGATTAGCCCTGCGCTAACATTTGTTGCCAATCCTCCTCATTTTGCTGAGGAAGATTGGCCCTAGGCTAACATCCGTGCACATCTTCCTCTACTTTGTATGTGACTGCCTGCCACAGCATGGCTTGACAAGTGGTGCATAGGTCCACGCCCAGGATCCGAACCTGTGAACCCCCGGCCACTGAAGTGGAGCCTGTGAACTTAACCGCTATGCCACCTGGCCGGCCCTCTGGGGCGTTTACTTTTAATATGCTATTATGTATTCTTGTGTTTCTAAGTACCAACATCCTTGCATTTCTTCTAAGAATTCCAATACACTAACAATAAAGCCAAGGGACCAGCTAAATAGACCATTTGGAAGCGGCGGTAACTAGTTTGGAGATGCCGATAGGGACTGGCTGACGCTGAGTGTTTCTCAGCTGTCAGGACAGCAGGAAGCTGGACACCCTGCAACAGTGCGCTTGACCCAAGGCTTCGTGTGCGTGCAGGAGTCCCTTCTTCCTCCTGCGACTGTTGCTCCAGCACCATCTCTCACTGCCAAGGCAGCACATCAGCGTTCTGCAGCCCGCATGGCTGTCCTGGTGGGGCACTGTCCTGGTGGGACACTGTCCTGGTGGGGCGGGCTGAGGAGTGAAAATGAGACACCGCCAAGCTGGGGACCCTCTCCCAAGCCTGGCTCTCCTGCCGCGGGCTCAGGCTCTGACCAGCAGCCGTCTGGGAATGCAGATGAGGCAGGCGCCTTTGGCTGGATGAGGTGAGGGACGAGAAGGAGATACAGTGAGGTTGAACAGCAAAGCTTGGGGTCGGGGGGCTCCTGCTGAATGAGTCTGAAAACCTGTGCAGAGGGGAGGCCGTGCCACACGAGAGGCCTACGTGGAGGTCCCCCTGGTCCCCTCTGCTGGGTCTCTGGGCACTGCCGCCTGGACTGCCTGTGGGACAGGGTCAGAGCACTCTGGTGGTGGCCCGATGGCCCGCCTTCCGCCCACTGCTGCCGTGTGGTTCTGGTGAGCAGGACTGTCCAGTTACTAGAGACCATTGATAATCAAAACCACCATCTTGGACCCAAACAGCTGTTAGGAAGCTTAGCTAACTTAATAAAAAAACAGCCAATGTGTACCGTGTCCTTTAGGTGCAGGCACTATTGTAATACCTTTGTGTGTATTGTGCATCTAGTCTTCCCAGCTGCCCTGGGCACTGTGTGCTGCGTTGATCCTATTTTCAGAGGAAAACACTGGGGCCCCCAGAGCTGAGGAGTCAGGGTCCAAACCCAGGGCTGGGCTCCAGGCTCCTTGCTTACTCATGAGTATGGGATTTCCCACAGGCTGGAGGCAGAGAGGGCCACCCCTCCCTTCTGCTGCTGGGGCTCCACGTAGTAGTTCCTCCCTCTCCAGCTGTGTCCCCTGGGGAGTCGGGGGCGGGCCTGAGGGCTGGCAGCTTCCTGGGCATTGATGCCCTTCTGCATACCTCCCCTCTTAGAAGTGCACTAATGCCTGGTGAGTAGGGATGCAAGACCAGGTCCCTAGAGCCCTCCGTGGAGTTGCACATAGGAATCTGAGGTCTCACGTCTGGCACTGGAAGTGCAGTTGAGGAAAGTCATCCACAGAGAGTGACATGACCTGTCCAAGGAGCAAGGGCTCTGGAGACCGCAGGTGCCCTGGCCCAGGTGCCCCAGAGGCCAGCTGTGAGCAAGAGGGAGCTGAGGGGCTGCTCCCGCGTGAGGCCGGGGGCTTCAACAGCGAAAATTACCGATGGGGAAATGCCCTTAGCCCAGTGATGTGTCCTTCAGAACATTCAGTGTGTCTTTCTCAGTTGGTGAGACGCCCCTGGTGCAGGGTCCGAGGGGACACGGGGGGTCCACTGAGCTCTAGACGAAGAGGTTTTCTCTGAGCTTCTTCCTGACAGGGACAGATGTTCACTCGGGAGGAAGCCGAGGTCTCTGGGGTCGCCAGGAAAGGGCGCAGGTGCTGGAGCGGGCAGCCCTGACCAGCCGTGTCGTAGGTCAGAGGAGAGGATGTTGGGGATGCTGGGAGCCGCTTTTCCCTGGAGTCCGCAGGGCCGTGGTGGGCTTGCATCTTGTTTGCTCTTTTCCGTGTGTCTGGCTTTTATGGAGCTTTTTTCTTTTCTTTTTTTTTTCTTTTGGTGAGGAAGATTAGCCCTGAGCTGCCATCCATGCCCATCTTCCTCTCCTTTATGTGGGACGCCACCACAGCGTGGCCTGACGAGTGGTGCATAGGTCTGTGCCCGGGATCCGAACCTGTGAACTCTGGGCCGCGGAAGTGGAGCGTGCAAACTCAACCACTACCCCACCAGGCTGGCCCGTTATGGAGTATTTTTCGTGTAGCTGCTTGTTCTCTCGTCATGTAAATTGGCTCTCATGCCATTTCTGGCTTTTCTCGTCGCCTTTGTAGCCAGGACAGAGTTCAGAGGGAGCTGTGGCCGAGGCAGGCCGGAGCTCTGTGTAACCCCGGCCCGTCGCACGCTGTCACATGCCTTCATGTGCAGCCATCCTCTCCGCCGTGTGCTCACAGGGAGCTGTGGAGTGTCCCCCTGCTCTGCTGAGGGTTGAAATATCAAGACCTGGGTCATTTCCAGAATTGGAATGGAAGCTCCTTTTAAAGAAACGTCACTAGGGCTGACTTCGCACACGGCTGCTTTTGCAGACACTTGGGTCCTGGTGAGATGTCTCGGTAGACGTGTCATGTGAGCCCCATGAGGACGGTCGTCGTGTCTGTTTACTGATGTACCCGGGCTGGCACAGGTGCACAGCAGAGGCTCGGGGAGGTGGGTTCTCCCCTTTCGTTTAAAGGGGTCTGTAATGACAGCTTCTGTGAAGTGCTGCCCGAAGCTCTGGGGAGAGGGAGGAGCCCTGGTTGATGGGCGCAGGAGGTGAGGCAGGTGGGGCGCTGTGATTTTCCGGTGGGGAGGACCCTCTGGGCTGGAAAGAAGCCTTAGAGCTGAACCGAAAAGAAAAAGTGCCAAGTGCGGTTCTGCGTGCTTTCTGGGTCCACGGAAATGCAGTGACACTGAGTCTGCAGGATGACAGGTGAAGTTTGTCTCGAGACGTGTCTGAATGGTTCTGTTCCCTGGAATTTTAAAAGCCCATTAGGCAGTTTTAATGTTAACTTTAGGGCCATGAACTTGAGGAGGAAGATCCTGGCAGAGCTAGGGTCCCAGGCTCGTTGTGGGCTGTTTGGATTCTTTTGTGCGTTGTATAAACGCCTGCCTTCTTCCTTAGTGGCCAGGGGTTTGCATGTCTCTGAAGGACTGCCTTGGCACCTGCCTGCCCGTGGCGTTGGGATGGCACCTGCTTTCTGCCTGAGCGTTTGTGCTTTCTGCCTGATACATGGCCCCCCAGGAGCTGACAGTGGGCTGGCCTCAGTCCAGGCAGGGTTTTAGGTGACGACTGGCATTCACCGCCACAAGCTCACCCCTGTAGGAGTGGGTGGGGGAGGGGGGTGCACAGGCAGAGGCACTGCGGAAGCCGCAGGAAGGAGCGCCCATTGGCCCTCGATGGACGTCACCGTCAACAGTGTCAATCTGGCTAGAAGTCATAAAATTAGTAACCAAAGCAACCTCACCACATCCAGTCATTTGGAAACTAGTGACAAGGGGAAAGACCAGCATTCTCCCACTTCCGTGACCAGACCACAAGCGTTGAGTGTATTTACTTCTAGGCTTTTTCCCCCGTAGAAATCCGTTTATTTGAAATTCTGTAAGCAGTGTTTACACTGGTGAGGAGGAATCAAGTATGAACTTAAACAGTTGGCTCGCGGGATGCCTCCGCTGTTGGCCCTCAGAGCAGCCTTTGGGCCAGCTTCTCTCATGCCCTGTGGCCTTGAGCTTCTGTGCGGTTGTGTGGCCGGGGTCCTAGGTGGTCCGGTGCAGAGGACCCGGCCATGTTGCCTTGCTTCGGCTTCTTTCTTTCTTGTACAATTGCTTACTTCTCACACTTGCTGCCAAAGGTCTGTCTGACACAATTAATGTTGTCGCTCTGAATTGTAAAACCCGTGGCTCCTCTCCACCCCCGTACCACAGTACTTTGGGGAATGATTTCTCCCTGCTGCCCCCTGCAGATCTCTCTGCACCGTGGACGCTGCCTCACCCACGATGGCTCCCAAGCTGCTGCCTGGGCCCCCCTGCAGCAGCCCAGGTTCTGCTCTTGTCTGTGCATCCTTGGCCACGTTGGCAGGGGCTGGGCTGTGTGTACAGCTGTGACGCAGGGTCAGGCTGCAGGACAGAGGCGGGCCTGCCCGGTGGTCCAGTCCCCTCTCACCCAGGACTGGCACTTCTCTTGTGCTGGTTAAATGGTACTTCTTCAGGGTTATAGTGGCCACAGCTCCAGGTTCATAGGGTTTTGGCTCTATTTGCAGGGCGAAGGGTAAGTTCAGAATGAGGTGATATGTAAGTGCCAGACAGTACCCTTGGTTTCTAGAACCCAGTCCCAGGGGAACTTGGGGGTCTCAGCCCCAGCCCTGGTTGGAAAGAGGGGAGAACCTTTGCCTGGGCCCCTGGGGCTGTGGGTGGTTCCTCAAGGCCTCGGTGGCTGGGAGAGGGTCCAAGCTGGGACATCATCCTCTTCCCTGCCCCCCCATCTCTCTCCCACTCTGTACTCCACCCTGCTCTGGGGGCCTAAACTGCACACGATGCAGATGTTTACCTTTTCACTCAGTTGGCTAGCAGTATGCATGTTAGAATATTCTAGATTATCCTGGAACACAAACTTGTACGCATTACTTTTCAGCATTAAGTGTTTACCTTTTAAATTAGGCAGGTGTCTCGATGGACTGGTGTCTTGCCTGTGCTGGCTGGAGCACACACTTTCTGAATCCTTGTTTTGTCCTGAGACCTGAGACGGACCTGGCCTGTCTTCCTACCTGCAACTACTGCTGGAACCGGAGTTTCAGAACAGAGACTTCCCTGTGCCACGGAGATGGGCTTTGCTGGTGTCTGTTCTCTTCTGCCTGTTTCCCAGAAACGCTGGTCACAACTCACCAAATTGATGAGAGCCCACTAATGGCCCGAGAGCTGCAGTTTGAAACCCTGTGCCACGGTGCCTTGGACCTTTGGGGGCTCCGGGAAACTTGGAGGGGACTCGGAAGAGTGGCCTAGGTGCATGTGGGGTATCCGGCTGAGGCAGGAGCGGTGAGATGGGGAAGAGGGCACACAGGGCGTTCCCAGGCAGGGCCGCTGGGCCTGAAGAGAAGCTCAAAGGACAAGCAGTGGTGCAGGCAGCCTGCCGCCGGGGCCATGGACGCCAGATGCTGCGTTAACGTTCCGCTTCGTGTAGTCGTTCAGGTTTGCTACACGCTTCAGAACAGTCCTCTGATCATCTTGCAGGCGAGCAGGATTACTCTAATTTGCATCTAAGACTAACTTTACGTAGAGACGTGGGGTCAGGGAGGTGCCTGGGAGGCCCAGCATCCTGCTGGTGTTACTTCCAGCTTGGTGACGTTGCACATCATCATCTGTCTGGGGCTGCGACTCGCCTGCCCGAGCCCGGTGGTGGGTGTGGCCGCACGCAGGGTCCCTGCTCCCTTAGGGCCACGTTTCAGTGGGAAGAGTGTGTCTGACCGAGGGGCCTGTCAGGACCCACCTCCCTTGGGGGCAGGTGGACAGTGACAGCTCCGAGGAAGGGACCCAGAGGAGGGGCCGTGGAGGAGCAGCCTCGGATGGGCAAAGACAGGCATGGCCAGGCCTGAGAGGCCAGGGCCTGGATGGTGGGCATTGGCAGCTGACCAGCACAGCCGTTTCTGTCTTGGAGAAGGTCCAGTGCCTGCAGGCAGGGGTGGTTATGTTTTCCCGAGCGCTTCTCCCGGACACTGGGCAGCCCTCTCTGTCCTTAGCGCCTCTCTCTCTCTCTGGTTCCAGCCGTGTTTCCTGGGCAGCCGTCGAGCTCCTGGTGTGAGAGGAGCATGGGCCTCCTGTCTTTGAGGAGCTCAGTGGCTGCCCCTCAGGGGCGTGCTCCAAAGAGCAGGCGGCAGAACATTGAGATTTCTGGGTTATTTTAATTGTGGGCGTATTTGCTGAATGTCAGCAACTTGGCCTCACTCAAAATTTGTTTTGAGATTAGGCTCAGTATTGAACTTGCATTGAAAGAAGAAAACCAGATCTCTAAAATAAAAATTTTACGGAAAGAGTAACCCTTGGGAGATTATTATATTCCTCCAAAAGATCTTGCCACACTTTGATTCTGCATCAATAGAAAAAGGTGAGAACCTTCACTGGTTTCTGCCTGGCTCAGATACTGTGGAGGTGACCCCATACGGGACCCAAATTGAGCGCCTCTGCCTCCGTCCCCAAAGCACAGCTGTGGAGGGGGCTTTACGTGTTGATGGTGGGTTTGTAGGGCAAACAAAAGCTTTATAAAAGCTGCTGGTCTCTGGAAACTGGAGGTGAGTGAGACCCCTGGCCGGGGGCAGCTCTGGGGCAAGGTGGAGGCCCAGGAGGAGGAGGATGGGGTATGACGGGCACCTAGGAAAGTGTGGGAGGGGCTGGGCCACAGGCTCTGGGAGAGCAGGGGTGAGGCCTGTCACCCAGGTTCATGGGGGGCTGGCCTAGGGGGACCAGAAGGGAGAGCTGGCGATGGGCTTGGCGTCGGCAGGCAGTGGGGGCGTGGTCTGGCGCAGGATGGCCTGGCCGTGGGGCCTATGGCTGTGGGAAGGGTCTCGCAAGGCCTGCTGAGCTCAGACCCACCTCTGGTCGCGATATGGTGGTACAGCCACCCAGGTGGCTGTCCGGGTTCAAATCCTGCAACCACCTCTTACTGGCTGTGTGACCTTGGGCAAGTCGCTTGTCCTCGTGCCTCGGTTTCGTCCTGTGTACAGCGGGGCAGTCACGGGGCCTGCCCGACAGGTGGCTGTGAAAAGTAGCTCAGTGCTCCCCTGGGATGAAGTGGACTTTCCGAGTCGGTGTAGCCGTGTAGTTGGCTGCGCTAGATGGGCCGGAGAGAAGACAAAAAGCGAATTTGGCATGACTGGGGGGGTGCACTCCACATGGTTGGTGATGGAGGAGCGAGTGGGGCAGCTCCCTGGGTCTGGGGGAGCAGCTGGGGGCTGTGGGTGCCCCTGAAGTGGGAGCACTTGCTGGGAAATCAGGTCACAGCTCACGTTCCCTTGCTGAGGCCCCCGGAGCGTCGTCACGGAGGTAGCTCTAGTGGTGTGAGCCGTGGTGGAAGCCGTGGGGATGCTGGGACCATGCAGGAGGGGAGCTGGGATCCGAGGAGCGGGCAGAGGAGAGAGGAGGCTCGCGTGCCCGGCTTTAGATCTAAAGATCTGAGTCTGAGCACTCCGGGAAGAGTGGTCCCTTGTGGATGCCGGCACCCGAGCTGGCCTTGTGTCCTCTGTGTGGGCTGTTTAAACCAGTGAGCTGGACTGAGAGCCCATAGGTGGGCATTGCAGGCTCCCGGTCGCCCTGGGTCAGTTTCCAGAATTCTCTGTGTGTGGGAGTGTGAGCCAGAGTTCATAATTTTCATGATTCTCTGCTCCTTAACCACCGCCTTCAAGAGGTCTTCGATCCTACTCTTGTAAAGGGCCCCAGCAGCTGTGCACGTGGCCCTGAGTGTGAGCAGAGAAGCGTGCCCCAATTCACCAAGGGTTTGTTCCATGTTTGCTGTGGTCGTCTGAGGTGGGGTCTGTTCCCGTGGGCTCTGGGTGGCTCTTAGAATGCTTCAGAGTGCCCTGCTGACGCTGTCAACCACGCCTGCTTCCTCCAGTGCTTGTCTGTGTCTGTTTGGACTCCAGTACAAACGCCTTTACTGATGGGCCTGAGAAGGTGACGCTGTGACGTGGGAGAAGCCGCAGCCTCGCTGGGAAAGGAATTGAGTGCCTATTGACAAAATTAGGGAGGGGGAAGAGCTTCCCAGTTGTGGTGTCAGCGTGGAGCTGCTCTGAGCTCTCTTCTGGCTTGTTCCCGTTTCCAGTGTCGGGGTCATGTTTCTACAGGTCTACACCTTTCTCACTGTGTTGGAAATGTCTGCTCCTGGAAGCAGGCGGGAATTGGAGGAGGGTGGGCTTCCTCGGCGTGGCGCTCTGTCTTCTGTGCCCTGCGTGGGTGTGCTCCGTACATTCAGGTGCACCCACAGACACCACTCCCTCTTTTTCACTCATCGTTTATTGATGCTCCTTTTCTTTCCTTAGTAGTAATTTTGAAAAAGGGCATGTTTTATGAATTCACTTATTTTTTTTGTATGTGAGGAAGATCGGCCCTGAGCTAACATCTGCCAATCCCCCTGTTTTTGCTGAGGAAGACTGGCCCTGGGCTAACATCCATGCCCATCTTCCTCCACTTTACATGGGACGCCGCCACAGCATGGCTTGACAAGCGGTGCGTCAGTGCACGCCCGGGATCCGAACCTGCAAACCCCGGGCCGCCACAGCGGAGCACATGCACTTAACCGCTTGTGCCACCGGGCTGGCCCCATGAATTCACTTATAATTTATTTGCAGGAAAATGTTTTCTACTCTTTGCTTTGGGAATCTGGTAAGATTTGGAAAAAGTGTGTGTTTCAGGCATTTGGAAAATATTGACTTCCTCCTGCGCCTGTTTAGCCCTCTCACCCCCATCCCCATCGCCCTGGTGTAGCCACGTCCCTCATGACCCCAGATGCCCTCCCTGCTCCAGTCTCACCCTGCCCAGGCCCCCTGTTCCCCCCAGTGCCCTGTCCCCTCGCAGTGAGCTGTTCTGAGTGCTCCCACTTTGTGCCTGGAGTGTGTTTCAGGTGCCACTGGGCTGTGGGGTGAGAGGGCTCTGCAGGACGGGCAGGGCAGGTGTGGCTGCCGGAGTGTTGAGGTGTTCAGGGAACAGCAGGGAGCCCGTGTGGCTGGGCCTGGGAGCAGGGCAGCCTGGGGGGCCTTCCAGGTGGGATTGCCGGTCTCGAGAGGATGGTCTGGCTGCTGGGCAGACAGTCTTTGTGAGGGTCAGGGGTGAGGGTGAGCGGGTGATTGGCGGGGCTTGGGGGGCTTCGAGGGGTGATGGAGCTGGTGGAAAGTGTCGTTCTGTGGAGAAGCTTATGAGAAGGGAGAGCTGAGTCGAGGAGGACGTCAGCAGCAAGCCCCTGAGTCCCGCCTGGCCCTGAGCGTCCAGCTGCATGTTCACAGTGACTACGATCGTCCCTCTGTCTGGTGGGGCGCGTGGTCAGCAAGTGCTGGTCTGGGCCTGTCTTACGTCTTGCCGAGTGCCCTCCTGCCTCTGCCTGGTGCAGAGCTGACGTCCGTGATCGCAGCAGCCAGCATTTATTGCTCATGCACGCGCAGGCACGGCAGTCAGCGCCGTGCACCGGTGAGCTCTCCCCGGAAGGGTCAAAGAATTAGGCTGTTTGCCAGACTTCCGATGACCCGTCTCTCAGCCCCTTTGTTTTGCAGTCCAGAACAGATGGCCTCTGAGCCACACTGTGTGTCCTGCCTCTTTTAGCCCACTCACAGGGCTCTACGGAAGGCCTGGCGGAGTAGCCGACATGCATCTGTCCTAAGTTCCTCTGCCAGCTCTTACACTGTGACAGCCTGGCTGGATGGGGGCCCATGACCCCACCCCTGCATCTGGGGTGTCAGTGACCCCATGCCTTACAGGCACAGATAGAACCAACCCTGTGTTCCTACCTCCAGCTCCCCAGCCTGGGCTGGAGCTGCCTGCGTGCCCTCCTCTCTACCTCTCTTCTGTTCCTTCCATATTTCAGGGTCTTTGCTTGTAACACCCTACCCCAGGTACCATATCCTAGGTCAGTCAGAAAGCTCTGGGTGAGAGTAGCAGAAGCCCCGACTCAGAGAGGCTCCAGTCCTGATGGGATCTGCTGGCTCGTGTAATTGTCTCCGTGATGGGTCACCTTGGGCCTCAGGCTGACTTGCCTCATGGCTGCAAAGTGGCTGCAGCCTTGGAAAATGAGGCAGTTCACCATATCGCCCAGGGTGGTGTGGGGAAAATAAAGAGAGGGAGTCCATGGTCTGCGGAGCTCCACACTGACTGGATGGCTTAGAGCTGGTCTGTGTGATTGGCTCCCCCAACCCAGGGGACCCCACTCTGTCTCCCGGGCAGAGGGTGCACCTGCCAGTGTGTGTGCACTCCTCCTGTCCCAGAACACAGTGAAAGGACACCTCTTCATCCCTCAGCAGTTGTGTGCTGCTTCGGGCCAGGGCTGCACCTCGGGCATTCTGTGTTTTCTGGGCATCCTGTTGGGTGGGAGGGCCCAGGTGGTGTGTGGGGTTGAAGCAGCCCCTCTTTTGTGGGGGCCAGAGTGCTGTTTGTAGGCGGCAACTCCCACTGCACCCCCTCTCCATCCCCTCCTCCGGGCCCTGACTCTTCCTGAACCTCATGTCAGGCATCAGGCTGTGGGGGCTCCGAGTCTGTTCCCAGCGTGGTTGTGTGGGTGGGCACATGGCGGAGCTGTTCTGGGTCTGTGGTGATATCCACAGTTCCCCAAGGGGAATGCTGTGTGGATCACATAGTGGTAGCCCTGGGTTGGGGAGATGCAGCGGCTGGGAGTCCTCTCTCACCTAAGGGCCAGCCATGGGCACAGTTGTCTTATGCGTTTTCTCACGAGTGTGCGTCAGGACACAGGAGGGAGATTTGGGGAAAAGAGACAGGGCCCTTGGAGCACTCAGCACCCAGCCTCGTGGGGTGAGCCTCAGCTAGTGCCAGGGCTGGTCAGAGGTAGTGATGGCCCTGCCCTCCTCTCCTCCTTCACCCTCCTCCCAAAGACCCCACCCCCAGCCCCCGCCTGCACCACCTCCCTGCCCGCACCACCTCCTCCCTACCCCTATCACCTCCTCCTGCCGCACCACCTCTTCCCATCCACACCACGTTTTTGTTTGCCCTCTCCCTCCTCTCCCCCTTTACTCTCCTCCCACCCCCCTCCCCCCCTCTGCCTGCACCACCTCGTCCCTGCCTGCATCACCTCCTCCATCCACCTCCCCCCTACCCCCTGCCTGCACCACCTCCCTGCCCACACCACATCCCTGCCTGCCCTATCTCTTCCCATCCACACCACATCTTCCTGTCCACACTCCCTCCTCTCTGCCTTCATCCTCCTCCTGTCCACACCACCTCCTCCCATCCGCTCCACCTCCCCGTCCACACCAGCTCTTTCTTGTCCACACCACCTCCTCCTCACTTGCAGCTCTTCAGCTCCTGCCTGCCCTGTCCCTCTTCCTCGTCACCAGTGGGCACTGTTTTGGGGAGAGTTGGCGTCCTCGCCGGGCTCGGGTGGGTGTGCGTTAGCTTCGTGTGCAGACTCATGTTGGCTCCATTCCTCCGAGCTCACACTGGCCCTGGGGTTTGTCAGCTGACTGCTGACGGCAAGGCCCGTGGAAAACTGTCGGGTCAGGTGACTGGGTGGTCCTTGGCTCTGGCCTTTGGGGGTGCCAGAGGGAGAGGGGACGTGAAGGCAGGCACGTGGGGAGGAGCACTGGCTCCCTTGTGGGAGGGGGTTGGGGCAGGGAGGTGGGTTGAGGGGCCACAGGGAGGGGGAGGCCAAGGGGAGGGTGCTCCCCTTGACCTTGGGAGGTCGGCTGCAGTTGGGGGATCTGTCTTCTCCTCCGAGCCTGCTAGAGATCAGTGGGAGGTCCTCCACCACACAGTGCCCATGGGAGAGGGGCTCTGAGCACCCAACATGCCGAGTTGAGGATTAAATGAGCCTGTGCTTGCAGTGTGCCTGGGAGACGGGGAGGGTGAGTTCGTTCTTGGGGGGGGGGGCGTCTGTGTCTCCTCCTGCTCACGTACCAGAGCCTTTGAAGCAAATGAACCATCTTCCTCTGAGGCCTGATTCTAGCCTGTTGTGCCCAGCTGGAAAGCATGGGGCTTTGGGGGTGGTTCTGGATGTGGCTCAGCCTTGCCCGAAGCTGGGGGGCCTCACACACGTCCCCTGCACTCCAGCCTTGTTCCTCTCCTGTGGCCTGGGACCCTGCGAGGCTTGGGGTGGGGTGTGACACCCAGCGCTGCTCAGGGAGTGGCTCCCTTACGATTGCCAGTGAGGAGGACCGGAGGAGCTGGAAAGACTTGCGTGTGTTTACTTTACAGGGGTCCTATTTTTAGACTTAAGTTATTCTGGACGTGAATGTTAAGTCTTTCCTGAGACTCAGAATTAGCAGGTCTGATTGTTGGAGAAAGGATGTTTGGGGCTCCATGCTTCACGACCCCAGCTGTCTCCGTGTGGCTCCTCACTCTTCGTCTCCCCCGTCGGCCCTGCAGCTGCCTAGGGTGATGTGGGGCGCTGCCTGCTCTCCTCCTGCTTGGGGGGCCTTCCAGGCAGCTCCTGGGTTGAGCTGGGTCAGCTGTCATTGCATGACCTGCCCAGAGGTTCCAGGGGCTGTCTGCTTGGTTGGAGAGTGAAATTCTGTGGCAACTTGCAGTGGATTCTGTTTGAGAAGAAAAGCAAGCTCCGTTGTCTCCAGAGCTGTCTCGTGGAAAAAGTCATAGAAGGGACCTCAGAGACCATCAACTTCAGCCTTTTACTTTTTATTTTTAAACTCTTTTCCAGTATTTTATTATAAAAATTCCAACATACAATAAAGTTGAAGGAATTTTGTCGTTAACACTTGTGTTTCAGCCACCTGGATTCTGTCAGTAACGTTTCACCACCTGTTTTATCAGGTACTTACTGATCTATTCATCCACCAGGCATTCTTGTCTTTTATGCATTTCAAAGTAAATTGCAGACATCTGTATACTTCCCCTAAACGCTTCAGCATGAATATCACTAGCTAGAGTTCAATGTTTGCTTAGTTTTCCTTTTGATATAAAATTTACATACAGTGAATCATACAAATTTAAGTATACATTTGCTGAGTTTTGACAAATGCTTATGTTTGACCTAAACCATTATCAAATATAGAACATGCCAGTACCCCAGAAGGCCCAGCGCCCTTTCCTACTTGGCCCCTACCCCCTTGGGAGCTGGGCTCCGAGGTCCCCTCCCAGGTCAGTTTTGCCGTCCAGGGACGTGGCATTGGTGGGTCCTGCATGTGCTCGCTGCTCTGTGGGCAGGTGTTTTGAGATGGGCCCGTGTGGCCTGTGTCGGAGCCTGTTCCTTTTGTTGCAGGTGGTGCTCCTCCGGACTCCTCTGCATGCGTTTCTCGCTGCCCCTGGTGTGTCTGGTGTTTCCCCGTTGACGCTGGGCTGTGTCACATTTTGGCTATTATGAGCAAAGACACTGTGAACATTCTTGCACACATCTTTTTGCGAACATGTTTTCCTTTCTCTTAGGTGATTCCACCTGGGGGTGGCATTGGTGTGTCATGGGGTAAGTGTGTGTTCGGTTTCACCAGAAACTGCCAGAACTTTCTGCACAGTGATTATGCCATCTTACATTCCACCAACTGCCTATGGAAGTCTTGGTTTATCCTCACCAGTATTTGGGGTTTTGGTCTCTAACTGGAGCCGTTCTGGTGGGTGTGCAGTGGTGTCTCGTTGCGGTTTTAATGTGCGTCTCCCTGATGGCTGATGCTGCTGAGCACCTTTTCAGGTGCTTGTGGGCCTTTTGTGTATTTTTTTTTTGGTAACATTTCTGTTCCTATCTTTTGCTCATTTTGTGTTGTTACTTGTTTTTACTATTGAGTTGTAGGAGTTCTTTGTATATGCTAGACACCAGTCTTTTGTCAGATAGGTGTTTTGCGATGTTTTCTCCCAGACTCTGGCTTGCCTCTTTGTTTCCTCAGTGGTGACTTCAATGACCCGACGTTCTCAGCTGAGATTCTTTCATGGTTGGTGCTTTCTGTGCCCTGCGAAGTCTGCCTACCACCAAGTCGAGAAGACAGCCTTCCTCTCTGATTCTTTAGGAGCTTTGTGGTTTTGCCTTTTACACTTAGGTTGTTGATTCATCTCCGATTAGTTTTGTGTGTGATGCGAGGTAGTGGTTGAGGTGTACTTTTTCCGTGTGCACCTCAGCTGGTCCACCACCATTTGTGGTCAGATTTTATTTTCCTCATTGGATTGCTTTGCCACCGTTGTTAAAATCCAAGTATAAGTGTGTGTCTTTTTCTGCACTCTTCTGCTCCACTGATCTGTGGGTTGAATTTTATTTCAGGACCACCTGTATTGATGACTGTCACTTTAGAGTAAGACTTGACGTCAGTGTAAGTCCTCTAACTCTTTCTTCTCGAGATTGCTTTGAGTGTTCTAGGCCTGTTGTACTTCCACGTATATTTTAGCGTCAGTTTGTCACTTTCTACAGAAAGCCTGCGAGATCACGGCCAGTGTGGACCTGAGTCTAGATCTGTGTGGGGAGAATTGACGTCCTAACTATTCTCTTCTTCTTGTGAAGGTGGCAGGTCACCTCGTTTATTTTGGTCTTTAATTTCCCTCAGCAGTGTTTTGTAGTTGTCAGTGTAGAGGTCTTGTATGTCTTTTGTTAAATGTGTTCTTATGTAATTTATGTTTTTTTTTTGTGAGGAAGATCGGCCCTGAGCTAACATCCGTCACCAATCCTCCTCTTTTTGCTGAGGAAGACTGGCCCTGGGTTAACATCTGTGTCTGCCTTCCTCTACTTTATATGGGACGCCGCCACAGGATGGCTTGATGAGTGGTGCATCAGTGGGCGCCTGGGATCCTAACCTGCGAACCCCGGGCCACCGAATCTGAGCGCGCGCACTTAACTGCTATGCCACCGGGCTGGCCCCTAATTTATGTTTTTTTGATGCTATTGTAAATGGTAATTTTAAACGATACCTTTTCCAATTGTTTACTTTTGTTATATAGACATGCAAATAAGTTTGTTTTT